ACTAATGAATTTGCATCAGCCAACTTTGCCTCAGACTTGAGCTTTATTTGGGCGTGCTCCTCATGCATTTCACGCAAAGCTTTCTCCAGCTGCAGTGAATGAACACATCCATATCAATAATTCTAACCCAAACAAAAAATTGCATACAAATTGACTAACAAGAAGTGGCAAGAAAGTGCATCTTGACACACAAGTACCATAAAAGTCCAGTAAATTGAAGAGATAAAATTGTATAAGTGCATCTTGACATACCTCGGCTACACACGGCTTTTCAGCAACCAATACTTTCCTCAAATTCTCTTCCCGCTTCTCAACTTCAGATATTGAAATTAAGTGTGCAGACTGTTCTCTTTCAAGAATCTCCTGAGTTTTAGCCTCTGATGGCTTAATCCTTCATAAAAGTTGAATTGTGGCTGCAAATCGTTGAGTTTGTTTGTATTATTGGCTTCAATTTCTCTACAATTCATCCCAGGCTTTTCTTGGTCTTTGTCTATTTGAAGAGGATGATGAACTTAACTTAAGCTTGAACTTGGTCTTCGGGATTGAAAAACTTGAAGAGTAGAGAGAGAGAGAGAGAGAGAGAGAGAGAGAGGCTAAATGGTTTTTTAATGGATTTTCATTAAAAAAATAATTATTTATTTATTTAATCCACATGTCACGATGTGATTGGACATGTGAACTCCACTTATCTTCCACATCATACACTTAACATAATTTTTGACGGTAGGGACCATTTGTGATAAAAAGTCCAAATGTTAAGGACTATTAGTGTCACAAAAAAACCTCAAGGACCATTCGTGATAATTTCGTAAACATCAAGAACCATTTGTGATAAAAAGCCTATGAAGAATACACCAAAAATAAGTGGAAAAGGCAAAAGAAATGACTTGAGAGATAAAAGTGAACTAGTTAGAACTTACCAGGACTGCACCTGTAATTAATGAAGTAGAAAACCGCTGGCAATAGTCCATCTATCAGAATTAAAAATATATATCCAAATGGGGCTTTCAGCAATCCCAGCAAGAATTTCAAATGGAAGCCCATACACAAATGCATGCTGACCCTTCCAAGCTTATAAGCAACAAGCATAGGTAAAGCTATTTATAAAGGAAAAAACAATTGTGACCTATGTTTTGTTTGTAATTGTCCCTATTTAGCTTTCCGGATCTAATTGCTCATGTGTATAACCTATGTTTTTTTACACTATTCTTTTTAGCATGTCCTTTGAATGAGTTATAATAACTTGGCACTTAATCATACAAATGATTAGCTACTTAATCATACAAATGATTGGCATCTTTAACTAGAGTTTTTGTGTCTTTCAAAAACAGAATTGTTGTTATGAACATCATGCTATCCACAAGAGTGTTCCCTATCAATGTTATTGCTGACCAAACAGCCAAAAAGAACCTCTACAACCTGCACAAATTACTTGGGCCTTGTTTGGTAGGCCTCACTAGACTGGACTGGACAAAATAATACTTAAAACCCATGTTTGGTTTAAGACTGGACTAACTTAAATGAGACTATATAGCCTAAACAGTAAAAAAAGGGCTCACTCGCCCTTCTAATATAGTGCGGCTGAAAATGGGTTCGCTAAATAGCGCTCTCGCTGAATAGAACAAGCGAGTCCGACACAACGCAAACCAGTTTCTTCTTCTTCTTGTCCTGCTTCGTGATATCTTGGTTCAGTGTGTATCGACTCTGCCACACAATTCTGCCGTTGACCTTCACCACGGATTTGATTGCAGGAGTGAGAAGCACTTGAAATATTTCTCCATTCTGAGGGCGCCATCCATGTCGGTCTTGATTGCAAGAGTGAATTTCTTGTTTCTGATGATGCTTTTAGGCCACCTGAAATTACAGAGCCTATGAATGCTGTGAACAACATGGTCATCAACCAATTGAACGTTGCTTGTTTCTTTGTCTTATTTTGTTTGCCATTATTGCTGGTTCAGAGTCCATTGGTTTTGTTCATAAGATTCATAGGTTTCAATCTTTGAAGAATTGGGTTTGGGGATAATGCTTCTAGTGTTGGGGCAAAAGTCCATAGCACAACATGCACTCCAACTGTTTGCTAAAATGTGGCACTCAGTTGGGTTATGCAATGGGGTGGTAATGCAATTCTTGATTTTGATCTTGGCTACCACATGGGCATTCGAGACAAAGGTAGTGGTGAGTTTCTCAAGAGTTGCTTCATTGGAGGACTAATGACATGCTTAGTCATTGGTTTGGCACCAAAACATGCCAAATTTTAGTCTTTTTTGCGGTTGTGTTGAGTAGTCTAGCTTATCTATTAGATAACGTGTCCCCTTTTTTTGTGGTTGTGTTGAGTAGTCATCGGTTCGTCACATTACATTAGTCATATATGTGATATGAATCATACACTCTGTGCTTTTGAACATTCAAATTGAGATAGATGTTTTTTGTATGTCTGCAATTGACATTGACTTTTAAGCCTTACATGAGTTTGTTGATTTTGATTTTTTGGTCTCTTACAATCCGGATTCAGGTGTTTTTAGATGGAGTGGAAATCCAAAGAAATGTAGACCTCACTGAAGATCAAAGCAATAAGAAGTAAAGTTTTATCTTGTTATGTTCAGTATTCAATTACTTTCCATGGACGGTCATCACTGACTAGGTTTCTAATTTATACTGTTAGCTTTGCCTGATGAAATGTAATCACATACTTAAGATAGATTTGTTTATTTTTTTTCACTTTGGTAGGTGGCTTTTTGTGATTGAAGAAGACATCAAGGGCTCGCATTGCTTGCACTTGTATTTTGGCAATGATTGAAACTTTGGATCATGACTTCTGAAGAGAACTAGCAAAATACTAGACTTATGCTAGTTACAATTAGGCCCAAGAATTAGTGGTTTGTAAGGACAAATGAGAGTAAATATGTATTCCACTTATATTGTGAAATGAAATTTTCCTACGTGGGTATTGATTTTTATTATTTATTCTTGAATGGGTGTTGAAATTTACATATATAATGGCATTCAAAAATTGCTATGAATGGGCTTGATGGCATTTTTGGAATGGGTCGGGGCTAAGCCGGCCCAATATGTCGGGGCTGGGTAAGCCCATAATTTAAAAAATTGGGCCGGATTCGAGTTGGCCCATCTGGCCTGGGCTTAATTTACAGGCCTAATTTTCACATCACACCAAATTTATAAAACACCCAATATAGCCACACAACTTAATAAAATATTACAATTTTTATATAAAATATACCCATTAAAATGAAACGATAATATTAAAATTCATGATTAAAAGAAAAAACCACATTAAAGATGGGGAAGCCACTGTCGGATTGGGTGAAGCTTGGTTTAGTAGGAATAGGGGTTTGGGGATTTAGGGTTTGAAAATTGAAGAAATGAGTTCAAACCAAATATCGAGGGTTTCGGAAATATCGGTAGTCCAAAAACACGGAAATATCGAGAAATTATCGATATGGGTAAAAATTGAACAAAAACCACAAAAATTGAGAAAAAACTTGGAAATTTTTATTGAAACTTTATACGATGTTTATTTAGTCAATCATCTATTATTTTATCACAACAAATTGGAAGGAAATGCATTGTTTTGTGGATTTTCCCCTCTAATGGCGGATTCCAAAGGTTGCAGGGGTCAATTGACCACCCTTACTCCTCTGTGGATCAGCCCCTGAGTTATATTGAAGAATAATAATGCAATCATGAAAAGAATATGTCTCTCAACGAAGAATGTGCATGAAGCTAAAAGAACTCACAAGGGTTATTGTTGAGTCTACACTTTAATCCACATATAATTCTCTAAGTCAAAAGTAATTTGCATTAAATTGGCCATGTGCATAAAAATAGTTAACTGAAGAACCACAATTAAAACTTACATAATGTATCTCAATCCTTACAAGCTATATACCAAAATATAATTCAAGTGTTATCATTGACTTATGGAAGGCCTAACTAAAATGACTCAAGAATGAAAAGAAAAATGTTTTTGGATTTTTAAAAAAATTTATTATGAATTTTATGGATTTTGACATTGAAGGACTGAACAAAAGTACATGGAACTGAAGAACTAACGAAAACAAAAAAATATATATATATCAAATATAAAAAATGGCACAAAACCTATATAAGACTTGAAAATCTAAATAAGTTTTACCATTCATTCATTTATATGATGTGATTAGTGATTTATGATTAGTTTGTGTTATTATGGTGAGATGTGATTGTATATAACTAGCTCTCCATTACAAGTTCACAAGATGATTATAGACTCGTAAATCAAGTTGGTCTTAACCTTTGTTCCTTTACCCTCCAGCTACTACTCAGCCCAATTTTGCAAGAACCAATCATTAGCCTTTCTTCTTCTGTGTTTGATGTTGAAAAAATACAAAAGCTAGATCTTTTGCCATCCAACAACTCAAATCACTCACATCCAATCATAATATGAAGGATCCTAATATGAAATGGGTGAAATGGGAGCTATTTGCTTCCACTGTGTAAGTGGACAAAAGAGGAGTGCAAAAATCAACACCCATATCAAAATAGTTAAGAGTGCATCTCTGATTCTGTAATGGATTTGGGTTTTTTGTGGTACGAGCGATATATTTGTTAAAATTAAGTTTCAAATTGCCTGAGTTGTTTTTTTTTTTGGCCAAAAACTTTCCTACTCTTAAACGGTTCAAATTTAGGGAATTAACATGTAAAAGCAACCATATGGCACTCCTCCCTTACGAAAAAATGTAAACATAAAGACATGACAACTCCTTCGGAGTACCAATGACAATCTCATAGACAAACAAGTTCCCCTGATTTGCTACCCGTTTTTTCTTACCATTTTCTATTCTTTTTTTATTTTTTTATTTAAAATCTCTCCTTGCTATTTAGATACTTCGGCTAAAAAGAGTTCCCAAACTATTCAAACAATAGGAACACCAAAACAGCCAAACATATCATAACTATACGACTGCAAATACTACAATTACCTAATATGAAACATAAGGTAATGATCCAAATTCCAAATCCAGCACCACATAAGTCTAAACCATATATAATGTCAAACAACATAACATGAAGCATAAAACAATTGCTTCTAATTCATTTCCCACCCATTTCACTCTTAAACCATTCGAGCCTGGCTTTAGGATCTTCCAATTTACAAAGCCTCTCTCTCTGCTCTTGACATAAAAACATCCCTTTTGCAAAAGCCCGAACCTTCGAACCATCTGGTATTTCATCCATGAATTTACTAACATAATCCACCATAACTCTAGGCATTGATGTTTTAGGAAACTCAATTGGAAGTACCTCAACAACTCCTCAATTATTCTCAACTTTCTTACCTCGTCTTCTCCTTTCCTTCATCCTAGATGGACTTTACGTACATTGAGTAGCAAGTACACCAGATGAGAAAATTCAGCAATAGGGTCAGTTCAGTAACTTGCTATATCATTCATACATATATTAGAAAGATAGAAATAAAAACATTTGGAAATATCACATTTGGAAAAAACTTGACTTCAACAGTCAAGAACCTTAATGGGCACAAAAATATGACTCCATTCACAAATACACAAAATAACGAAAAAGTAGAATAAGAGAGAAGAATTACTTGTAGACATTTTCAAGTCTCTTTTTCAAGTGTCTGGCGGAATCACCAACAAGCTCAACTACCCTTTTCCCTTTTAGATAGCAATGGAACGTTGGCTGCAGCAAAATGCACACATCAGCAGAGTAATCTTCCATTTTAAGATGAAATCAGGACTAAAAATATTCATTCAGCTTGAACAAACTGCTTAGCCCATTTTCCAGGATAAGCAGAGCCTGTTTATACTTTTCTGAATTATTAATTAGGATATGGTAAGAAATACAAGCCAAATTTAGAATTAGTCCGAAAACAAAGGTCAAACACATGGGAAATTACAGCACTGAACTAAGTGCAGACATTTACATCCAAACAAAATAGAAGATCGAATCATTTACCGTCTCGTGAATTCCCAACTTGTCCAATGTGGATCCAGCATCATTCTATAGATTGAATAAATGTCAGGTCTACTAATCTAGAGGTATAACAAGAAATAATATCATGATTCTTCGCAGCTGCGTGGCGGATCATAATTAGAGTATGGAAAAAATTACTGCATGAGCAAGCAATTAATTTATAGCTCAAGAAAAATACACACTTTATCAGGTGCACCGTTAAATTTCTTCTACCCAGAACAAAACGCTCAGATAAGCAGAAAGGCTAGCATAGGACAAAACCCTCTATGCCTTGTTGCACTATAATTTTTATGTCATTTCAACTGTTAAGAACTCGAAAAAGACAATTTTGATTTCTTCTCAGTATCATGGACTGTCAAATATATTCACCAACAATACTGCCATTGTTACAAAAGTTTAGGCAATATCTTCCCTGGAGTCCCAACCAATTTAAGATGAAAGGTGAAGTGTATAAAAGAATAAACTATAGTGATGTATTGATATTATCTGTTTGATTAAAGTAACCTTCTGATAAAAACAAAATATAAGGATCGAATCATTTACCGTCTCAGGAATATCCAATGGGAATCTAGTGCCACTCTATAGATAAAATAAACAACGTCAGGTCAATTAATTTAGAGGCATAACAAAGAATAATATTGAGATTCTTCTATGAGCAACTGCATGGCGAATCATAATTAGAGTAGGGAAAACAAATTATTGCATGGGCAATCGATTAATTCATAGCTAATGAAAAATACATTTTTTTTTATCATGTACACAATTAAGATGAAAGGTGAAGTGTATAATTTGTTTGATTAAAGTAACCTTCTGATAAAAACAAAATAGAAGGATCGAATCATTTACCGTCTCGTGATTATCTTCAAATATGTCCATTGGGAATCTAGTGCCATTCTATAGATAAAATAAACAACGTCAGGTCTACTAATTTAGAGGCAGAACAAAGATATCGTGATTCTTCTATGAGCAACTGCATGGCGGATCATAATTAGAGTAGGGAAAACAAATTATTGCATGGGCAAGCAATTAATTCTTAGCAATTAATGCATAGCTAATGAAAAATACATGAATTTTATCAGGTGCACGATTAAGTTATCTTTTACCCATAATAAAATGCTCAGATAAGCAGACAAACATGGAATAAAACCCACTATGCCTTGTGATGAGGACATCTTTGTCAAACCCATTAGGGTTTACAAACGAAAGAGATGGAAGAGGGAATTATTAATTAGTTTCCTAATTTATTTGTTAGTTCCTAGGTTCTCTTATTTTTCCAGATTTCATTAGGATTTTTAGTTTTTCCAGAATTCAGTAGGATTTCTAAGTTTCCTATTTTATTTGGATTAGGATTTCTTTCCTAGAATAAGTTTAATTTTCCTTTTCACTCTAGGGTTAGATTATTATAAATACCCCGTCTACGTAATTCATTATGGAGTTGAGTTGTTGAGATATAAAGAAAAGCTTATTTTCCAGAGATTGGAGACTACTTGGTGTGAAGCCAAATCCCTGGAGTGATTCCAGACCTATCCCTTTTGTTCTATTTTCTGTTTTCCATTGTTTTCGCTTCCGCTAAACTACCTAAATACTCAATTCACCCGTGTCCTACATCACCTTGTTAAACATGTCATTTGAATTGTTCAGAACTCGAAAAAGACAATTTTGATTACTTCTCAGTATCATGGACTGTCAAATATATTCACCAACAATATTTCTATTGTTATTAACAAACGTATAGGCAACATCTTCCCTGGAATCCCAACCAATTTAAGATGAAAGGTGAAGTGTAGAATAGTATAAACTATAGTGATGTATTGATCTTATTTGTTTGATACAAGTAACCTTCTGATAAATAAATAAATAAAAATTAAAGAGAAGGATCGAATCATTTACCATATTGCGATGAACTCCAAACACATCCAATGTGGATCCAGGGCCATTCTATAGACAATAAACGACATCAGCTATACTAAAATAAAGGCACTTAATGCATGACATGAGCAAGCGATTAATGCATAGCTTATGAAACCATCTACGCCAGTTGTTGGAAAAATGGCTCACCTAAGGATACAAGTGTGTTTTGGCGCTGAAAGGATGATTTTGAATCTGTCTAAAAGCGACCGGTCGCTGGACATTTGCGACCGGTCGTTTTGAAGCAGATTCGAAGTCTGGAGCGAAACTGAAGAGCGACCGGTCGCTAGTTCTTTGCGACCGGTCGCAGGAAGACCAAGCGACCGGTCGCAGGAAGACCAAGCGACCGGTCGCAGGAAGACCAAGCGACCGGTCGCAGGAAGACCAAGCGACCGGTCGCAGGAAGACCAAGCGACCGGTCGCAGGAAGACCAAGCGACCGGTCGCAGGAAGACCAAGCGACCGGTCGCAGGAAGACCAAGCGACCGGTCGCAGGAAGACCAAGCGACCGGTCGCAGGAAGACCAAGATTGGTTATCTTATTTC